TGGGCTCAGTATGTATCTCAAGGACACTTTGACATGTGGGAGCCGGGTATCAAACCAACAACCTTCTGATTAGTGGACAACCCGCTCTTCCTCTGAGCCACAACCGCCACAGCCTTGTGCTTGTCTTACATATAATCCATTATGAAGTAATGTCTTTTGTTTCTTTTGAAGACATTTTTTTTAAGTCTTTCAGGTCCTGTTATATGTGTATAAACTGTTCAAATAAGTGAAATAAATGAATAGGTCTGCCACACGTAGAGGTCACCATATAATGCATACTGACTACCCCGCTGAGAAAGTTGGCTTACTTGTTATTCTGGCTCCAGTCACATCCAAATACAGCAGCAGGATGTTTGTACTTATGGAGGATTTTACCATCGATGGTCCGGATGATACTGTCGACAAAACAATATAAAACACATAAGACTCTATGAAGCACACATATTATGCTTTCTTCATAACGGAGCAAACTCTTTTCGGAATAGAGGTCTACTGAGGAAGATGAGAACTTACCAGAATCCATCTCCACTACAGGTAGCAATCCTCTTAGAATCCTTATGGCTCCATGATATACAGAATATACCGTTCTTACCATGCTGGAGGAAGACAGAGAGGGCCATAATTTTTAGTAGGCTGGGGTTGTTACAGTTATTGTGTTCACTATTTGGATTCATTGTACAGTTATTGTTATGCATTGAATGTATCAACTTGTCGGTACAAAGCTATAGCTAAGCTATTTTCATACATTAATGACACACAGACAGAGAGTCAAAGTAACCTCATTAAAGCGAGTGATGATCTTTCCTTTCCTGACATCCCAGATGAAAGCTCCATTACGAGACGTCGCCCCTGCGATGCAGTTCAAGTCTCCTTCAAAACACACCAAAACACACACAGACAGAAAGATCACCAACTTTAACGTGAGCAATAGATGATACACTTTACTGAGATATTGTTGCTGGGATGGAAGTCTTTTGAACTATATAACTGACTAGTTTGTGTATGTGCTTGTCTTTTGTGGGCTGAGATAAGTCATTCCTCAGTTCTTCCTGGTTGCAGAGGTTTCACACACACATTTTTGTGTGCAGCTGTATGCATACATGTGCTCGTGTGTGTGGATGTGTGGAGATGGAGTTGATCTACCTGGAGCCCAGGACAGGGAGTAGACCACTCCTTCATTGCCAGGGGAGGTGTAAACAGCTGTTAGTGTGTTTGTGTCCCAGATTTTGATGGTTCCATCAAAACTAGCTGTGGCCAGCAGGTTAGGATCATCTGGTTTAAACTTACAGTCAAAGATAGTCTCTACATGACCCTGAAAACAGTAGAAAAACAGAGGAAAAGAGCAAAGTGCATGATCTTTTATTGGTTTGTTCATTCAGTCATGTGTTAGCATGTGTAGGCTGTTGACTTTACAAAAATATTACGGAATACCAAGTCTCGTAGGAAGTCCCACTTCCTGGCCCCCATGTCGTAGAGTCCCACCCCTCCATCCATGAAACAGCACACAGCGTGGCCAGGGGGCAGAGAGAAGGACCGGTTCTGTGAAAGGGTTGGGGGAGGTACTGCCTCACTGGTGGAACTGGTGTGCTGACTTTTACTGGGAGAAGAGGAACTCTGAGCTGCAGAGAGAGTAGAGAAAGGAGAAAATTTCTGGTGTGCTATTCTAGAAATCATAAAGAGGATCATCCTCACATTTCTTAACAGTTTCGAGCTTATTTCAGGGACTTACTTTAGCGCTGCTGAGCTAATCAGACTTACAACAAAAGAAGTACTACTGGTCAGTGTTTGAATAGCTGCTTTAGAGTTTCTGTAGATTTCACCAACCTGAAACCACAAACCCCTGCACCAACAGTTGTGGTGCATGGATTTTAATTTATACCACATGTAAGTACAAAATGTTTTATTCTTATTCTTACCTTTCTTGGCGAGAGGGGAGTTGAGGACATGTAAAGCATGAAATCCGGTCTTTTTCAGTTTAAAGCTGTCCAAAGGAGTGGAGCGAGACACATTCCATACCCTCAACACTCCAACCTGGGAGTCTGACACAGACAAACATAAATCAGTTAGAACATATCAAAGGTCTCTCCCATAATGTAAATGTGCTGAATATTTTTCTTGCTCAGTAAACTTCCTCTCACAGAAACACGTTCTCACTCCCAACTTGTCAAAAACTGCGGTTTGGTCAGTTGCCCTCTGCTTATGAAGCTGTAGGTATACCTCTTGCATCATTTCTCAACGAGCAGGGTTCCTATGGTAGCAGCGAAAAGCGTGAAAAACGCCCCTATCTAGAGCCAGTGCATGGTTTGTGTTGATTCTGGTGGCCCCTGTGGACATAAGCGATAATATTTCCACTGCCTTGTTGCATTGATTTCAAAGGGAATCCAACCAAATCTGTTTATGTTGGTCATATAGAGGCAACATGTATTAAACTGAGACTGTTTCATAACCAGTTAAAAACTCCTTGTAGTACGTTTAAGTACATTACGTAAGGTACGAACATCACTTAAGAAATTGTTTACTTTTGGTTTCTTACAGGACATGAACAGTGGTCTCCTGGGTTAAAGTTCTGTGTTTGTCTGAACCATCCATCTACAACTCTTCATCCATATGCAGACTTTCCCGCTCTTTACACTATGTCTTTGATGGTGGGCACATCCAAATGACGCAAGAGGGATACCTACAGCGTCTTATATTGAAACGGAGGGCCACTGACCAAGCTGCAGTATTTGAAGACTTGGGAATGGACTGGGTCACTGTCACCCATGTGTTACTAATATGAACTCCATCTACTATCTTCAAGTCATATAATTACACTAAGCATTACTGTGGTTTTAAGAAGCCAAATGGACTCATTAATATGCCAGTAAGAAAGCATCTATACATAGACAGATGGCACTTTGGCAACAACAGGTCCCACATACCAGCTGGATGGCATGCTGGAGATTGAAATACAAGTCTAACCTGTAGTGGTAAACACATCTAGGAAGAACGGAAACCAGCTCATACACACATCCCACACAGAAATATAGTCTACCTCCGGTGATGAACATGCCCGGTGCAGAGGGGACCCAGGCCAGACACTGAACGGATGCAGCAGATGAGGGGAAGCAGAAGGACGTAATACAAGCCAAGGCTTCGCTGTCCACCAGCCGGATACCATTATGGAGATTAGACACTGTGAGAGAGAGAATGTGTCATTTAGCATCTGCGGCTGTAATTATAGCCACAGAGATTTTTGCAATAAACAATAACAGGACAAACTGGTACGGACTGAATTACTCAGCAAACACAGCTTCTTTATTGTTCTATTCTATGTCTTCAAAGTCTTTGTCTCTTCACTTCAGCTAACAGAATACTGGCAATGTTGTTAATATTTTTACCAACCTAGTAGATAGTCAGTTGACAAAAGGTCCCATTCCAGAGCACTGACTGGGTCCTCTTCATCTGTCCCCTCTAATGACTCTGGACGCAACACATGCTTTTGGCTTTTACTCCCTAAACAAGAGAGGACAGCCAGATTAATGAAGATGTGTTAACAGCCTAACATGTCTGCTTATGGAACCTAAAGAGAAGAGCAGGGTTAGACATGTATATGTTAAAGCCTATGCCTCCAAGCAAGGACTTTTTAATGAGTTGAGGAAAACATTTGTACCTGGCTGAAAAATAGACAAACTTCCATCTGTGTGTCCAAACACCAGTTTTCCCTTTTTAGTGGGATGCCATCTGAAGAGGCAGATATCAGACAGGAAGGAGTGGGCTTCTTTATGCACTGTGACCCCGGGGTCAGAACCTCCATAGACCCAGATATACAGCGGACCACGCTGGGAGACAAACGCCACTCCATCAGCTGAGTTCCAGCACCAACTGACTGACGTTGGGACACCTGGGAAAGAAGAGGAGACGCTGTGATACTTCATTGGAGGAGGGGACAGTACAATACTATAACCGTAAACACTTCAGTGTGCCAATAAAACCTGGTGAAGATCATCCATCGACCTTTAGTGTTGTCCAGTCTTGCTACAGCCTTTTGTTCTGCTACGTTCCATACGATGAGCAGGTTATCAGCAGAGGCTGACGCAAACAGATCAGGGTTGTCGGGACACCAGCTGATGGCTGTAATGGTCTTCTTGTGTTCAGACATGATGGACCTCAACTTAAATTCATTATACTGCTGGTCCAGCTACAACATGGATACAGAGACAATGACAATGAGAAAGAGAAATAAGCAGCTTTGATTTTGTCCTGTGACTGGTTAAACATAAATTCTAAACATACATGATATTATGAAACCTCCCTGCAGTAGCAATTACATGATTGTAGACAGTTCAGGTTTAAGAGGTTTGGTTCAGTGATTCAGTTCTGTCCAGAACTGGACACTTCAAACCAAAATGACATGGTACAAATAAGTTCCAGCGTGTGTGTTTGAAGATTGGAATACATTGCACTCTGTATAATTATATTGTATGGGGTTTACAATACCCAGAAAACATGTATTTTGGTTTCCTGTGACAAGACATTAAAGTTAAAGTGGTGAGTTTAACACTGTTAGTAACAGTAAAATAATAGAGGTACAGTACGTGAGAGCTGCTCCAGCTCATTAATGTTACTGTGAGGAACTGACTATAAAATAAATGGGCCCCGTGCAAGAAGTAATATATATACAATTTTTCTTTTATTTTTGTTCATATCCATGATTTGTTCTTCTTTTTTTGTACCCACTGATTTCTGGGATTCACCAATTTTTTATGTCACTTTTGCTCTTCTCTTAGGTAAGAGAACATTTTGGTAGAGAGCACTCTTACCAAGATATGAAAAAATAGTGTTGTTTTTAATGTTTGTTTAATGCGAGGAAACATATGTTTTCAATTTGAGAAACATAAAAAAGGCATGAATATAATATAATCTAAAATAATCAGATTAGACTATTGGTTTTGGGCTAAAGAAATACTATTGCTCCATTGATCCCTAATGGCCTTTTTGGTGGTAACTCTCCATTTCTATTACTGTATTTGCATACGGCACACCACCTGCCTTCATATAGTGTTTAGGGGGTCTTACTTATGCTAATAACAAACAAACAGCCACATGCCTCCAATTTAAGATCAAGTGAGATTCATCATTCAGCACACCTAGGTAAGAACGTTTAGTGAATCTGGAGTTGACTTCTCTTATATTTTCTCTTCACAGAAAATTAAGAGAAAATATGAGAGAATGTTGCTGCATGAGGCCCATTGTACAGCATGTCGAAACAGTGGTACGCTGCTCATTGTAGCAGCACATAATGGCACCTTAGATTTTAAACATTCCCCACCCACATGAACACAAGTACACACAAGTACACACA